GGACACAGCGGGACAGGGAGCCCCTCACTGGGACACAGCGGGACAGGGAGCCCCTCACTGGGACACAGCGGGACAGGGAGCCCCTCACTGGGACACAGCGGGACAGGGAGCCCCTCACTGGGACACAGCGGGACAGGGAGCCCCTCACTGGGACACAGCGGGACAGGGAGCCCCTCACTGGGACACAGCGGGACAGGGAGCCCCTCACTGGGACACAGCGGGACAGGGAGCCCCTCACTGGGACACAGCGGGACAGGGAGCCCCTCACTGGGACACAGCGGGACAGGGAGCCCCTCACTGGGACACAGCGGGACAGGGAGCCCCTCACTGGGACACAGCGGGACAGGGAGCCCCTCACTGGGACACAGCGGGACAGGGAGCCCCTCACTGGGACACAGCGGGACAGGGAGCCCCTCACTGGGACACAGCGGGACAGGGAGCCCCTCACTGGGACACAGCGGGACAGGGAGCCCCTCACTGGGACACAGCGGGACAGGGAGCCCCTCACTGGGACACAGCGGGACAGGGAGCCCCTCACTGGGACACAGCGGGACAGGGAGCCCCTCACTGGGACACAGAGGGGCAGGGAGCCCCTCACTGGGACCGCAGGGCAGTAGTGAAGACAAGTGCCCATGTGTAGCTCGGGACTGTTCCTTGTTGCTAGAGGCAGGGTCGGGGCTGGAGTGGTGGCCTTGAACAGGCTGGTACCTGGGATGGTCAATGGAGGCGTCCAAGGGGCAGTGACGTGGACAGAGAGGGTTACACTCCAGGGTCAGGAAACCCTCGGGTTCAGTTCAGGCTCAGTCCTGATTCTGCCACTTGGTGTCTGAGCCTGGGCAATTGACATGACTGTTCTAAGCTGTTTTCTCATCCTTTAAATGGGATAATGCTTTTTAAGGTTATGGTAAGACTTAAATGAGGGTCTAAGTGCTTAGCACAGTGTCTGTACATGACTCAGCAACACACGTAGCTCTCATGGTTCTCATTACTGAAAAGCCGCACCTGGCCGCCAGGTGCAGGCTCAGTGCCGGGAGGAGACTGCAGGCAGAGCAGCTGCGGGCACGGCACGGGCACTGGCACGGGCACTGGCCTGGAGGCGCCTTCCCGGGAGACCTCGGCATGAGCTCCCGTGCTGTCAGCAGCAGGAACACCTCAAGGCGCAGGAGGAACAGACTCCTGGCTGGTGTTAACAAGGAACAGGCGCGGGGTGCTGTGGAGCCAGCCTGGCCTCCCGCAGAGCTCCCAGGGGGGCTGGGGCCTCCAGCACGGTCTTTGGCGCCCCTGCCCAAGGGCACTGGCGGTGGGCTGTCTGCTGACGGTGGCGATGCCTCCCTGGGAAGGGTCCACGAGGCGGGACGTCTCCGCGCCTGCCCGCGCTCACCTGAACACGTCGTTCCAGTACTCCTTCACGTAGGACACCTGGTGGAAAGGGATGTCTAAGATCTGGCAAACCCTGTAGGCGTCTTCGCAGTCTTTATCGGCGGTGCAGACGCCATGCTCGTCCAGGGAGTCCCAGTTCTTCATGAACACCCCCGTCACCTGGTAACCTGGGGGAGGGAGGAGTCACAGCGGAGAGAACGTATGGCGGGAGCCTCGGGAAAGGGCAGGGTTTCTGAGCCCCGCGCCGGGCACTGCGGTGCCTGGCAGTCCCTGCTTTGCCTCAGAGCTGAGGGACACC